CCTTTAATAAATAAATAAAGAAAATATGTTATTTCATATAGGGATTCACAGCTCGTGATCATTCTCATCCAAAATTATCAAAAATTATTTCTGAACTTGATCATTTAACATCCGAATTGATTGCACATGGGTATAAGTATAATCCTTCATGATTAACTCGTCAATTAGAGGAAGGGGAAACAAATTTATCTATTCTATGCGGTCACAGTGAATGAATAGCACCAGCTTATCATTTCATTGAAGAACCAGATACAAAATTTATTCAAGTAACTAAAAATCTTCGTATATGCGGTAATTGTCGTAAGTTAACTTTTTTTTCTCATTTCGATTATTCTCAATAATGTGCGGTTTTCGTTTTTCTATGAGATCAAGTAACAAAAATGATAGCAGAAATTCGATAATGTTATATTATTATTAACGATGCTAACTGCATACACTATTTTCATCAAAATGGACAATGCTCTTGTCAAGATCATTTTTGAACATTTTCTAATAAATTTATTCTTCGGAAAAATGTTTTTTTTTTAAATTATTGAACTTTTTGTGGTAGATTTTATTAATTAACACAAAATAAAACTTATTATTTCATATTTAGTTGTTCTATTGAAGAAATCTTTTCTTATTCATGAAATCAAATAATCCATGTGATGAAAACTGGGCAAAAACCAGTGGTAAACCGCGATTTTACCAGTCTGGTTACCGGTTCCCAAAACCACGGTCAACCGGGGATTTTATGCGGTGAGCCGCAGTAAATCAGCGTAAATCGCTAGCTTTTTTTCCGGTAAACCGCAGCTAATCGGTGCTATTCGAGTCTTTATCTCATCAATATGTGTTTTAAATTTAACAATAATCTTTGAATTAACCTAATTTATTTCACTTAAAAAAATACAAGCAAACAAAAAAAATCGTACATAAAAAACCACAAAAAAAGTACATTAAAACATAAATATAAAATAATTAATATAAAAAAGTGCATTTAACATATTAAAAACTTAATCTAAAAAGTAAAATATAAAAAAACAAATTTACAATTAAATGTGAAAAAATACATCTAAAAATTAAATATTATAAAATGAATCTAAACAAAAAGTGTTAAAAAAGATCTAAAAGATTAATATAAAAAAATTAATCTAAAAATATAACAGACAAAATTTAATCCGAATTTTTTTAAAAATAATTTAGACATTAAATTTAAAAAAATAATCTGAAAATTAAATTTAAAAAATTAATCTAAAGAAATGAGTATTAAAGTATTAACGAAAAAGAAATAAATATTAAAAAATTAAGTTTTTTAAAAGATGAGATAAATATGTAACACTTTAAACAAAACAATTAATTCTAAATTGAACCTCTTACTCTTTTCTTGATTATTTTATCTAACCACGCGAGTAAGCAAAACAAGCGAAAGTGCTACGAGCACATGTATATATACTTGTTTTTTTTCGTTCTATACCCATTCGTCGTCTTCTCTTTAACGGAAAAACTACCGATGAAATTTGTAAAGAACCGTGGTATCACTTAAAACCGGCGGTTAACCGCGTTATTCTGTTAAAACTGGTCCGGTTTTTGCAACGTGGGAATTTGTGATAACTAAGTTATTTTGAATTCGACATTGAATGCACAAAATTTCGCATAGGACGATAGAATTATGGTTTTGTCTATGCATCTACGGTATTTTAAAGATTCTGAATAGTATTATTGACGAGAAAATTTGGATTTCAAAATCGAAGACATGATTTATATACTATAGAAGAGTACTTTTCAAAGCAATAACAATTTTCATAAAATATTTCTTCTTTTTGTTGACTATAAAGTTGGATTCCAAATAAAATTATATAGCTTTCAAATGAAACTGCTACAACATTTTGATTTGAAAAGAAAAATTGATATCAATTGACAGTGGAAAAATAATCTTCTGTGTTTGTTGTAACAGATGTTTTTATTGAAATTTTAATCTGAAATTTTTGTATTTTCATCAACAAATGTAGAATTATATGGAGAATCATCTGAGATTCTGTCAAGAAAGAATGAAATAATATACTCAGATAGTTATGAATGTTCTCTTTCAGCAACTTTTACAGGTTAAATATTTCTTTTTTTTTCATTATTACAGTCATTAGTTTTTCTAAATGAAAATGCACAATTAATATGATATTCATTCTATCTCTTATTGAGAAAATTTCTATTCAAATCAACGCATGATATACCGATTTTTTTTACATGAAAATGATTTGCAAAATTCAGTCTCTACATTTTAAATCAATTAAACGACACAGAAGTCACTACTCGGGTCAATTCTGATTCAACTTTTGGTGCCAATTTTATCCATTGCATTATTAACACGAATCTGAGGGTTGGATGGAGTGAAGGTAAGGGTGTGAGAGTGTGGATCTAATTCTTCTCTCTGCCTATACCAATATCTTGAATGAACGAACCCTAATTCTAAATATATCGTTAGAAAGAACATGAAATTTTGATTTCCTCCGTTGAATTATCGTCGGATGTTTGAAACTATCATCTTAATGTACTGTTTTTCCTAAACGATTTTATGAAGATTTTTGAACTAGATTCTGCAATTAATTCGAGTTTTATTTAGATGTTTGCTAAGCATATCTGTCGAATTACATTAGTAGCAGAATGTTTAAGCTTGCATATAAAAAAATTCAAAAACAAAAAACAACATGTTATAGAAACATATCACTAAAACATACGTAAAGTAAGCTAATCTTTCTATTACTGGATATTTCCACCGGAAATCTCACATCCTATATAGAAGTATTTATGGCCAAGCTGAAACTTTCATCATGTGTAAATTTCCATACCCTAAGACTATCTATAAAAAAGTTCTATGGACTTTCAGTCGGTACCATGGTTTTTTAAAACCCTAAAATACAAACTTTTGCCTACATCGGTCACGGTGTGGATCTAGGTGTGGGGTGTGGCTACGGCTATGAGAGCGAATGGTGTGTGGCTATAGGTATGGTTTGGGCGTGCGCATGAATGTGGATGTCAATATAGAGTCTCGATGTACCTAAAGAGGAAATCTACAACCACACACCCCATATTCACACCCACACCCACATACCTACCCATACCTTCTATTTCTTCTTGTGAATAATTAAGAAAAGAAGAATGGAAGAACCGCTTCTGGTATTTTAGCCAGGGTTACCAGATGAAATACTTGAAAATCAGAAATTCTTGTGTTCAAAATCAAAAAAAAAATCAGAATTTTTTCTTCGAAATTGGAAACTAATCAGAAATATACTTCTTGCAAACCAATAGCTATCATGTTGGCATACTCGCACAAAATGCTTCACTTTTTTTGTTTATCGAGTCATAGTTTATGTGCAAAAAGTATTTTATAGTAAAGAAAAATAACACAAATATAATATAGTTTAGAGTGAAAGAGTCTATATTGAAAGCCAAGGAGATTGACCATAGTCAGATCAAATGAATGCTCTCACTGTCAAACCAACTAATTAAAGATATGAGCTGCCAATAGCGTATACAGACCGAGATATTCGAGTTTCAAGAAATTTACAGTTTGTTATGCGTCTATACTACGAAATTTCATCAACACTTTATTTTCTTTCTTCATCATGGTTGGATGGAGCACGACCATTTACATAAGAAAAAACAATATCACGCGTATTAAAAAGCAAATTCTACGAGATCTAGAACAACATTTTTTTAAATTATAATCGTAATAAACAAAAAAATCCACTTGCTGCTAAATTGCTTTTGAATATGTGTGATATTGTTTCTCCTTATGTAAATAGTCGTGTTCCATTCAGCTGTGACGAAAAAAAACACTAAATATTGATAAAATTTAGTAGTATGGGCGCATAACAAACTGTATGTTTCTTGAAACTCGAATATCTTGGTCTGTGTACGCTATTGGGAGCTCATGTTTTACACTAGTTGATTTGTGAGTAAGAGTATTTATTTGATCCCACGATGATCAATCTTCTTAGTTTGCAATTACATGGCCTTCAATTGGTAGTTAATACAAAGAAAGCTAGCAAAAAAACATCTAATGACAGATTCTTTTACGAAACCCAAAATTCTGTTTACGAAAAGTATGCGCAAACAAATCATATACTGTGAAACTCAACTAAATTTCCCTCTACGTATTTTTTACTTTTAACTAGTATAGTTTGATGTTTTTCGGATAATGAGTATATAGCAAGATAGCAGAGATTCCGCTGCATCACATGATATATTAATCATAATTAAAAAGCAGAAATCAAACGACAAAAAATACATCAGAAAAAAAAGATGATATTTTTTCCACTTCAATTTGTAATTATCGTAAATATTTTTTTATTTTTTCTTGTTTTCTTCTACGCACATTGACGTATATAACTTTTGTTGTTGTTCGAATCTTAACAAATTCATTTTTATAAACTTGTATAACGAGCAAACTAAGCACAAAAATGACTTTATTAATAAAAATTTCGAAAACAAATTTCAGGAGGAGATTGGCGTATATTTTATAAAAGTGCTGGATCTAGGTTCAAACAAACATTTAATCCATTCTCTATTTCCCGTTTATTCTCTCTATTTTTTTCTATCATCTATTCCTTTGTCTAAATCTATATTGAACAAATATCACCAATAAATACGTGTCCGTTGCGTCTGATCAGTGAATAAACTATCATTTTCACTTCTTAATACATTTGCTTCAATTTCTACTGTTTATTTATCAAATGACGAATGAATACAACAAATACATCAGTATCTTCAAGTAAAATGTACTTGAAGAATATCGTCCAGGAGTTTACGGGTTTGGATTTAAATCGTTAGTCAAACGATTCAAAATTAAAGGTGGTCACAGGCTGATTATGTGTTGGTACCGTCAATGGGACGGTACCGTTCAGTCCTTAAGTCCAAAATCAAAAACTAGTTGGCCACGCATATTGACAAAGAAAGAAGTGAAAGATTATGTATTGGATTTTGTTAAAATGATGAACAATCAGTACAAACCGGTCAATTACAAAATGGTACAGTCACATGTTGAAGTTTCATTAAATCGAAAAGTATCACTAAGCACCATTATGACATATGGCAGAAAAGAAAGTGGTATTAGAAGTAGAAAAACTCATGAAGTAACATCTCATGATAGTAACTATACAGCCTCTTACAAAGGACGTATCACTATTCCATCTCGAAGTTTAAAAACTCATCTTATGGTTTTTTTATACTTGTGCTTGACAAAGATTATTGGTACGAAATTGGTAAGTTTCGAAAATTTTTACAGCGAATTGATAATAATCGATTAATATTTCTTGATGAAATAGCTATTTACAGTAATATGCCTCCTCATCGAACGCTTGTTGCTCCAGGACATCAACCATTAATTATTGTTGATTAACCAAGAGCTTACGCTGAACGTTACGACTTTATTGGCGCTATTAATGGATCACAAGCAATAGCCTGTATGACTTTAACACCTGTTGATCGTAGAAACAAAGATATTAAAGGTGTAAGAAAAGAAGTAGTGAATGAATGGATTATGAAATCATTAGTACCAGCGATTAATCGATTGCATATTGATGGCATGCATCTGATATGTAATAGAAGTCGGACGCATAACAAGGCAAATTTGATGCAAGCGTTCAGGAATGGTAAATGTAAGTCAGTTATAGACATTCATTATATGCCAACAGCATCAGCCAAGTATATATCACCATTAGATAATCCACTTTGGCATTCATTTAGAGAAGTTATAAGAAAACAACATCCCTTGACAACATCAAGTCTTCCATCAATACTTTCACAAACGTTTTATTCATTATCAAGAAAAGAAATCAGTGGTGCATATCGTAAATGCGCAATTACATATGGAGCTGGTGTTTATTATGATAAAAAATCCACATAAATATGCATTATTCTTTATTTTAATTCAGATGAAGTATATAATGTAGTGAAAAAATGTCATCTTTTTTTTCTGATGTATTTTTTGTTGTTTGACTTCTGCTTTTTAATTATGATTAATATATCATGTGATGCAGCGGAATCTCTGCTATCTTGCTATATACTCATTATCCGAAAAACATCAAACTATACTAGTTAAAAGTAAAAAATACGTAGGGGGAAATTTAGTTGAGTTTCACAGTATGTAAACTATGCGGATCAAAACATTTTACGAAAAATAATAAAGGCTATAGAACATAAATTCCATATTATTTTTCAAGTTTTCCTTTGTTCAAAATTCCTTCAATAAATGTTTGTGAACTAAAACATGTTTACAAAATCGTTCAAAAAAATGATTGGCATTCATTCTGAAGTTCAGCAACGCCAAAGTTTACTAATATATTAAAGTATTCGTTAGTAGCTGGAGAACTCAGAAACTACAAAAGATTAAGAAAGAAAAGAAGGTAGCGCAATACGGATCTATAATATTAATGAGTTATAGTGGTAATTAATTTCGCTAGTGAAGCTACCATCTAAAAACGTTCGAAATTCGGCAACAAATCAGAAAAATCAGAAGATCAGAACAAAACCGAGAAAATATTCAAATTTCAGAACCTTTCCTGACTTTTCAGAAGATCTAGCAACTCTGATTTTAACTGTAAGCTTGGGTGAATGTGAGTTCGATTTTATTGGGAAAACACTAGTCACGTAAAGATAGAGATGAATAGATCAAAAAAACAGGAAACAAGAGCACAGATCAAGAGAACACACACGAACATATGTATGTGTAGATATATATATACATATAGAGTGACACATAGAAGAGAAAGGGAAAAGCCAATGACGTTTTTGCGGAAACATTAAGGAAAAAATCAAGGCGTGAAATGACTTAGTTCGTAGGGAAAATGTCCGTGTGTGCCGTACAGATACATATTGGAAGAATCCTCAACATTAACATATGCATGTTTTTTTTAACGTTATGAGTACTTTGTTAGGCCAAAAAAAGTTTTGGCCTATCAATAAAAACCTTGCCCATTTCGCCCATCAGTTTCTTCGACGCAAGAGAAGTTTGCCCATTGGTCTAAAAATCTTGATTACGCCGCTACCTGGAAGTACTTACTTAATCAAGAGGCTAACCTTTCACCCACTAGGGTGCATGAGAGTGAGGGCGGGAGGCAATTCCGATTGCGGAATTCCTGGAATTAGGTCAAAGCGGAATTGGTAGGAGTTCCTTCGGGTTCGGGCTTAACTGAATTCCCAGAATTTCGTAGCGAAATTCAGTTGAATGAAAAGGAGTGATAGATAGATATTTATCTAAGATATCGTAATTCCGGAATTGGAAGGAATTCCTACGAATTGCTAGAGACTCATGCCTATAGAATTCTGGAATTGGGTGAAGCTGATTCTGGTAGCGGAACTGATTCCCGAATGTTCAACATCGCGGAATAGGATGTTTTCTCATCATTTTATGAAATGATGCTCCTTCTTTTGAGCCTATCTTAATGGAACAATTTAATAGTAAGTACAATTGAATGTGTAAAATAATTTTTCAGAAAAAAATTTATTTTATTCGTTGAGTTGAAATTATAATTATGTTTGTTGAATTAGGATATAGATAAAGAAAAACGAAAAAAGAATCATTTCATAAAATAATTTTCTTTTTTCCTAAG